CATCCAGTATCTCAGAGTTCTCTTATTGTACAGTTACAGTTATATTTATTTATGTATTACAATATAATCAGGTTTTAATACTGACATGCAATATGTAATCAGTATTTCAGAATTCTCTTACTGTACAGTTAGAACTGTTTGAAATCTTACTGGTATTACATTTTGACAGTTGTATAGTTGACAGTTCATTTTGTGCATTGATATGATTAGAACCTTTGGTAGAAAAGAAAGTCTGGGAATACATTTGCTATAAAATGTGCTTGCAGTTCAATAATTAAATGAATTTGTTTAATCAGAATGTAAACTTTGATTTCTGTATTCATTTAGGATCACTCACTCTGGTTAGTATTTTTACATTTTTACAATTTTTACATATAATATGGTTGAAKGAAATTATGTAATTTGATTGGTTTAGAAGAGTGGTATTTATCCTTGATAGTGGTATTTCAAATTGCACAATTTTATTCAACCATTTTATAAACAAATAATAGCATGTTTTGTACGTGGAATTTATCCCAAATACYACTACAAAACATGCTATTACCTATACTAACACTATGGATTTTGCTTAAAACCTTAAAAAAGGGAAAATTATAAATATTTTTATATTCATGCATACTAACATTTATYATACAGGTATTTGGACCAAGTTTTATCTATCATTGACATCTTTGTTATAAACAATACTTCGTCTTATTTCAATGAATAAACTTGTGCTCTTATTGCAGTGGTTTTCTAGAGACTAGTAAAATAGTTAAGAAAGTAACAGCTGTTTCACAGTATCAAACCATTCCAAGTTTAGAGCATTTGTGATGATATAACATTAAACTAAAATATGCTAATCATTCTTACTGGAATGTTTATTATTTTGCCTTTTCACCTGCTGGCTCAAGAAGTGGTGGTAAGAAATTGGTATGAAAGCACAGACAGTAAATATCTTGTCTGCAACATGTGCCAGGCTTAGGGGCATGACTCCATCGAGGATATGATAGTTTTTTATTCGGCCAATGGCTCTTTCTACATGAATACGTACTGAAGCTATTCTTGCAGTTTCTTCAACTTCATTAGCTGTGAGCTGTTGTCTTGTCCCCTTAAATGGAGGTAGGTTGAGGTGGACTCCTGGAGGCAAAATATCATGGATATCAAATCCTCTGTCCGCCATAACATTGTCTCCAGCATCAAGTAAATCAAGAACACCTGATTCTTGAGTGATAGCTTTGTCAGACACTCTTCCTCCCCATAAATCAGATATAAAGGTAACTTTACCATTTGGGGAGACACCAACAAGCACTTTAAAAGTGTTGTGGTGCTTGTAGTTTGACCAAGTTTCCGACTGAGCTTTCATTGAGGAAGGTACKTCAATAAACAGTTCAGTGCAGTCAATGATGATTCTAGTTTGAGGATAGCGTGAAAACTCCAAGGGTAGGTTTCTCCGCACATTTGCTTGGGAAGGAAATGGAAATACAAGTGCCATTTCTAAATACAAAAAATTAATCCATGTGCTGAATATCTTGGAGAAGTGTCTTGGTGATATGTCAAACCGGTCAGATAGGTCTTGCACAAACAGGCCAACTTTAAGTCGCACTAAAACCATCCAAAATTCTTGCAGGTCAGTTAAATTTCTTTTCCGCMCAGGTTTAGACTTGGGATTTTCTTGGTAGGGCCTACTATCTGGAGGATCTTTGCCATTCCAATATTGCAACTTGCCAACTTTAGGTTCCAGATACTCATAAAATGCTAAGAGAGCATCATAATTTGGGAAGTTTGTGTAAAACTGAATGGCTCTGTCATCATCTTTTGTAGTTTTCCAAACTAAATTTCTTCTTTTTGTAGTCATTCAATTGTTCCTTTAAAGAGCAAATTTCATTTTTTTAGTAAGAGTTACATACCGAGAACGGAGGCAATCAGCCTAATACATCCCGAGGGCTTATTTCATACTTGAAGAAGTTTTCCAAGCACTGCATTAATATTTTCATTTTTTAATTGGCAAAGAAGCCGTTTCCATATGAATTCAAAACCAAAACCTCGATTAGAAAGGTTACGAAATTTACAGTATTGAAAATTCCCAACGGGAATAATTTGCATAACCAATTTTCTCGTTTAGTCCCATGAGACCAATGCTAACAATATATCTTTTGTAACAAGTAACTGGACAATGTTAAATAACTGTTTTATTCCATAACTGACATCGATTAGTCAGTTAGCATAACGTGTTAAGTATAGGATTTTCAAAGCTAAGGTTGTGGGTTCGAATCCACTTGGTGTCATTTGAATTTTTCTTTCTTTCTTTCAAGTTTAAAGTTTCAGATGGAAAATTTCTAAGTTGAACGTAGTAGTTAATTAGGTATTCAAGGGCAATATTAACATTAGTATTCAAGGGTAATATATAGATATTGCCCTCAAATGGGGGCGATATCTAGATATATCCCTGAAACTTCGATATAAAGCACTTGAATACACAACGAGCTGCGGAATAAGCGAGATACAACACTATGAATAACAAAGAAAACTGAATCAAGTATGAAATAAGAGTATTTATCTGCTCATGTTGTTTTTCTAACTTCTCTTCAAGTCTCTTGATGTATTCTTGCTGTTCTCCAAATGTAGTCATGTTACAGAAGGATAATGAATAGGAGTGCATTTCGTAGATGTTAGAGTCTGATGGCCCGAGATCTGTTTGAACAGCTTTATCAATACCTATGCATTCTTGTGTTGTTTCTACATCAAAGGAGTCCTCAAAAGTGACTGCGTCATTGCATTCATTGTTCTCTAAAAAACTGCTGCTCTGTTCTTGGAAGGACTCTTCGACGACTATTGCTTTTCCTTTTGTGTCCGAAATTTCTGTTGAATTTTTGGTAATAGTGCTTGCTTCAGAAGAGGTTTGCTGTCGACATAAAACTCGTCGCTTTGGCTTTGGATCACTCGATTGCCACGGAAATATTGACGGCTCAACTCCGGACTTCAATCGACATCTTGTTCCTCCGGGAGGCTTGTAAATGTCCTCTCTTTTAAAGTGTTCCTCGCATATCACTGTCAATTTATTCACTGTGAAACCATCTCTTCCGTGCTGCCTTTTGATTAAGTTGCACCAACGATCTCGCTTCGGATTTTTTGAGGGAAAAGTGAATAGACTCACTCCTGTAGGGCGGCCATCTTTGGAATACTGTGTGTTCGTGCAGCCATAACAGGCGCATTCTCTGCCTCTTCTAGTTTTTTTAGTCTGGGATCCTTCCATAACATCTGAATTACATTCTACAAAGAGTACACGGCTGTTGATGGAGAATTTCGATGATAAAATAGTCTATTTCTGCTTGTATCTATAAAATCGCCTYTAGTTTCTTTGTTATCACATGGAAATGCTCTGTGTTAGCCTCGATTTGAAGCATAATCCGCGCGCCCGCGCAGTTAGGTTCAGCGGTCTTCCAAATTAACTCAGAGATTTCGAAACGGGAGTATTCCATAAAGCTTTGCTCCAATGACTTGGAAACTTCTTGGTGTGACTTATTTTCTTCATCCAAACAAGAAGTCAAAAACTCTTCAACAATTTCTTGAGATTCATTATTAGTTGGAAGCTGAAGAGCAATCTAGAATATACAGCTATTTCAAAAAACGTTGTCGGGGAGAACGGCGAACGGCGATTGTCGAAGGGAGATTGCACGACCGAAAGGGACTATGGTTACACTGTTTTGATAAACAAAATTTCACTTATTGGATCCACCTTGCATAGAAATGGAAACTAAATGGAGCCAATGTTTACCACAGACCATCTTAGAGTACAAATCAGTTGTTATTGCCTTTCAACTAGCAAAACCCATGGCTATTTTCGGTCGTGCAATCGCCGTTCGACAATTGACATTCGCCATTTTATCCGACAACCTTTTTTGAAACAGCTATATAAAAAATAATTTCTTGAATGATATAAATACTAACAAGAAGGAGTAGCTTTCGAACCTCAGGTGTTAATGTCAATTYCATCAAACGATCTACAGCAGCAGGAACCAATTCACTTGRAATTACATTKTTAAAAATAAACTGTTCAAAGCTCGTCAAATCCGTTAATTGTGAAAAATCCATGATGGTAATAAAWGTGATGGGGGACACAGGTTTATATACCATTTCCATAAACAAAGGATCCATTGTTCTCGTTCCTTTGGGATTTAAGCACAATGGGAAGGCACTGAGCCCCTTATGTGAACTTTGAACTCATTAAGTCCCTTCTGGGAATTAACACATACCCACTTTCAAAACAAAAGAGTTGCATATAAAGTATGCTGAACTGATGAAAGGTCACTTGATACTTGATCTTTGAGAGTGTTTTTCACTGGAATGTTCTGGTTTATTACTTTCATCAAACCATTGAAAGAAGGAGCAAGGGAGATCAGGAACTTTGACATTACAAGAAAAATAGATCCTTCCCTTGTTTTGATCTGAAGTATTGATGCCAACTCTTGCCATGAGGTTATGTTCGCACTTTGGAAGCTGACGTCTTTCGAGCGGCTTATCCTGAGCTTTCTGTGTTAGATGGACATCCTCTCCCTTCATTCTCATGTTGCACCCAAGATCAAGTTTTTGGATAGCTTTCTCTTTTTCTTCACTTGCTTTCATCATCAAAGCTTCCCTCATTTTCTTGAAATCAACATCTGTTCCACAGGTAAAAATGGTATCACCATTTTCACAAACAAACGATCTGGCATCTTTTCCACAGAAACATAAAAACTCTATAGTGCTCGAATGGAAGATATTCGAACACCGCCTTATATTTATAGGGAGAATATTACCTAGTCACGTGACTCCCACAGTCCCACTAAATACCCAGTATACCCACTATATACCCASTATACCCACTATATACCCACTATACYSACATACCCACAGGTTAATTCGGTGCACACTATACTACTTTTGCGTAATGATTAATTGGCAACCAATTGGATTTTGGTTAAAATTTACCTACATTTCGAACATGCAAACAAAGGAATATCAGCTAACAGTTATCTTGTCAATATCAGTTATCAGCTAAATAAAACCGAAATTCTCAGTTAACAGCTATTATTATTTTAGCCGTTTCTCAGTTAACAGTTCATCATCATCATCTATTTCCCCTCTCTGGAGACYTTTCTCCTTAGGGTGAGGTCATCTCTTCGATGAATCGCGTAAAGTTCCCTCTGTCCATCATCATTCGTCTCAGTTGTTGGGCATCGATGCCCAACAGTCTCTCAAGTTTCACCCACTTCCCAGACCGTTCTTCGAAAAGCACTTGCTTCCGTAAGTCTGTATTGCTCATTCTGCAAATATGTGCTAGGTATTTCAGCTGCTGAATCAAACAGAAAGTCTTGATGGGTTGTGTCCCGGTTATGAGGAGAAGGTCTGCATTTGAGTATTTAAACTTCCACTCCTGACCGCTCACACTACCGTCATGTTGCTCATCCTTTCGACGCTTGAATCCCCCTTGAATACCATCCTTCGAAGGAACCCGTTCCAGACCACCTCCACTTTTGCAATTTCCTTCGCAGTCATGTCCCACGTCTGGACGCTGTAAAGTAGCCTAGATCTCAYKCAGGYATTAAGAAATTTAATCCTAGTGGACAGATGAATACGATGATCTGTTAATATATCTTTCAGTTCATTCCAATTTTCATACACAGATCCCATTCTGGAGCCAAGGCTCTGCGTGTTGTCACTTGAGTTTGAGATGATATAACCTAGGTAACGGAACTTCCTCACGTTCTTTAACTTGGTTCCACCAACATTCACAATGCTTTCTTGGTTCATGATTACTTCGCTGATATTGAAGGCCATCGTCTCTGTTTNGCACCAATTCGCTTCTCTACTTAAAAGATCTCGTTCAATATTTTATAAATTGTTTAACGTCTCTAATACTATAAAGCTAAAATCACTCAAATTATGTGGTATACTATTAAAATGAATAGCTACCTCACAAGTTTTTGTGTTCGTAAGCATAGCGGACTTATGATTAAGAAACCTAACTTTAAATTCATTCCTAGTGGAACCTACATACTGCTATTTACACTTATTACAAGAAGCTAAATATATAACATTCTTAGGCTTACAATCTAATTTCTGCTTAATAAGATAAAATCTTTTAGTAACAAAACTGCTAAATTTTCTAGAAGACTAAAAATAGTTCTACAGAGGTCACAGCGTCGACTGGAGCACTTAACACAACCAGTCTCACTATTATCAGTCTCACTAGTGCCTATCCTATCCCTAAGTTCAGAAGGTGSTAAAATTCCCTTCAAATTTTTAGGCCTTCTATAGGCAGTAAAAATTCTGTTATTTGAGAAAATACTCTTAAGTAAATCCGTAGACTCTAAAATGTGTAAACTACGTCTAAAAMTCTTATCAACATTAGGTAAATTTGTATTAAAATCTGTAACTAAAGGTATAACGTTACTAAACTTAGGTCTTTTCTTAACCTTTAARAGACTACTTCTATCAAGCGATGAAACTTTGTCAAACTGCTTATGAACTAATTTCTTGTTATACCCCTAGTTAATCAAATAACCCTTATATTCAGCTGAGCTATTTTCATAAAACAAATCATTAGAACAATTRCGCTTAATTTTCCTCATCTAACGTCCAAAAATCTCCACCAGCAAAATGGTTTAATATCACCTAACTTAGCTAACTTATCTATTTCTCCCATCACTAAATCCGCATAACTACAAGCATTTTTCGGACCCATAGCCATACCATGACATTGTAAATATGAATTATTCCTAAACTGCGAATTATTACTTTCAAGGCAAATCTTAACCGCGTCAAGGATACACTTAGTAGATGGTATTTTAGTTATCCTAGTATTAAGARCCTTTT